TTTTAATGCTAATGCTGTTTGCACATGTGTCTTTAATCTCTATGTATCTGATTATTACTGGTCACAGATAGTTACACTCAGATCCTTGGCACCTGAGTATGGATATAAAGTCATCAGGTAGATTTCATTGGTAATGTTTAATCACCTCTACTATTTAACATGAGGTAAATTATCTATATACCCACTTCCCAAATGGCACCCTCCCATAAGCCTCCCCCCTCTGACACACTGGAGCCCATATACTCTGTCATCCCTGTTATGTCCACTGTGTTGTCACACTCCTAGCCATTCCCCAGGGCTTGTCTGCTGAATCTAGTCAGCCTATCTAGAGATCCTTGTTTTAGGAAGATCAGCTGTTCCTCATCTAGCAGCAATCAGTTGTCAATACTCCTTTAGCTAAGACTGGGATCTTTTGTTCATTTTCCCAGTTCTATGCTGGGTTACTGTCTGGGAGTCTTTTGGGCCACCCTGGCCAATAACTCGAAGGTTTCGTGTTATGTAGCCTTTAGCTATACATATGGACTCTTAAAAAATTATATTGGCCCCTTTAATCTTTGGTTATACTTTCCTTTTGAGTGTTTAAGACCCTACAGTTGGCCCAGATAAACCATTTTTTTTTTTTTACTCTTAAGGTCGTTTGAGGATCTGTTCCTCAGGGGTCACATGGGCTTGGAGGAGCCCCTGGTTCCTTTCTTTTGCCAGTTCTGTCTGTGTGAAGATAAGTCAAAGGTCCTACTTGACCATGGTCCTACTCGACCATGACTGGCTTTGCTTGGAAGCATGGAGGAAATGTTTCCTCTGTGTTGACCCTCCGGTCTTTGGACACTGGTTCAGGTCCATCTGGTGGGGTCTCCACGGCCTCCTTGATCAAGAGGACAGGTGACCCACCACCATTACAGGACATTTTGAGAGATGCTCACAGTCCCCTGGAACTATTCGACCTAGGAGGGCAAGGAGCAAAAACTGACCAATTCGATCTAGGAGGGCAAGGAGCAAAAACTGACCAATTTAGTATAGGCCTCAAAGTATGGCTGTTAAACATCCAAGAAGGTTGGTTCCACCAGTCTGGTACTTTTAATTATCATGTGCCATATAGATAGAGCTTGGGCAAAGACCAAACGCTCTCAGATAAACCTTGCTTAGACATATATCACATTCTTTGATCTGGTTGTATGAATAATTTGTCAGTAGGCTGTTGGCCTAATATGGTTCCCTCTGGTTTTCTAAAACTAGGCATTATTTATCTCTCACATTGTCTAACCCTTCCACCATGGTTTCCCCAGTTAAGGTGCCCCTGTTTTTCCCATTTCTCCCTTAATAATACCATTTTCCTGTGGTCCCACCTCTCAAGCTCCTTTCCCTTTATACCCTAGTTTACTTGTATAACCTTCCCTCCCCCTCCCCTTAAAATAACCCCATTTTTCTCCATATCTCCCTTGTTAACATCTGTTTTCTACTGTTCTTCTCTTTCAGGTTCTTTCTTTTCCTTTATCTCCCTGGTTCCTCTTCATTATCCTGGTTCCTATAGTTATGTCTGGATACATACTCACTTAAAAGGATTTGGTGCCGGGCGTGGTGGCACACGCCTTTAATCCCAGCACTCAGGAGGCAGAGGCAGGTGGCTGTCTGTGTGTGAGTTCAAGGCCAGCCTGGTCCACATAGTGAGTTCCAGGACAGCTTGGGGCTACAGGGAGACCCTGTCTCAAAAAGACCAAAAAAAAAAAAAAGGATTTGCTGCGAGGATCCACAGGCATTGTCGTGCACATACACGGTGTGCTTAGACATGCAGGCAAAACACTCACACACATAAAAAAATTTTTTTTGGTCTTTTTGAGACAAACTCTCCCTGTAGCCCCAGCTGTCCTGGAACTCACTATGTAGACCAGGCTGGACTCAAACTCAGAGATTCTCCTGCCTCTACCTCCTGAGTGCTGAGATTAAAGGCATGTGTTACATGCCCAGCCGGAATTATTTTTTAAAAATATATTTTTATTTTATGTGTATAAGTGTTTTGCCTGCATATGTATAAGTGAACCTGTGTCATGCAATGGCCAGAAGAGGGAGTTGGATCCCTGGAGCTGGAATTACAGATGGTTGTTAGCAGCTACATGAATACTGGGACCTGAACCCGGGTCCTCTGAAAGAATAGTCAGTGCTCTTAAGCACTGAGATCTCTCTCCAGCCCCCTAAGATTTATTTTTTAAATTATGGGTATGTATGTGTGTGTGTGGGGGGGGAGGGGTAATAGTTCCCTGATTACAGTGCCCAGAGAGACCAGAAGAGGTTTCTGATTACCTGAATTGGAGTGACAGGTGGTTGTGAGCTGCCTGATTGTGGGTACTAGAAATCAAACTTGGGTCCTTTGTAAGAGCAGCAGTACACATTTTTAACCACTGAGCCATCTCTCCAGCCCCAAGAGGGTGCTCCTTGATTACTAAAAACCAACTACAGACCTTTGAGTACTTGCTGTAGTTAGGCCTCAGAAGCATCCAGAACTAGAGGGGAGGGTTCCAGCAGGTCTGGGTCACACTGTTCAAGGGCAGTAAGGGAAGAGTTTGAAGGGTGCTGTGTGGCCCCAAGGCGGCAGTTTTCAAATACCGATTAGTAGTTTTCCTTGAGGGACTTGAGGACTCCTGCCCCTCCAGTAAATGCAGGAAGCAGATCCTACCAGACCAGACCAGTACTGAAATTGGCCAAGTAATGTTCATCCAAACACACTAGAACAGTGTAGGGACTGAGCATGCTGCTCCATGGTGGAGTGCTTGTGTTGGATGCATGAGGCCCTGGGTTAGATCCCCAACACTGTTAAAAAAAAAAAGAGATCCATTGACCTTTTGGAGAGGAAGAGTCTGGAGAGCTGCATTTTGAGAACAGGATAGGACCTCAAGGTAGCATGTGAGGCAGTTGAAAGCTCATGGGCCCTGGGATCATGCTGCCCGTGTTTTGTGTTTGCTGAGTGCATATCATGTACCAGCTGCTATCTTTTATTTTTTTATTTTATGTGTATGAGTTTTGCCTGCATGTATGTAAGTGCACCCATGTCAGGCAATGCCCACAGAGGCCAGAAGAGGGTGTTGGTTCCCCTCAAACTGGAGTTAGAGACAGCTGTTAGCTGCCATGTGGTGCTGGGAACCAAACCTTGGTCCTTTGCGAGAGCAGCCAGTCCCCTTAACCACTGATCTATCTCCTTAGCCCTACCAGCTGCTATTTGAGATACAGGAAGTACAGGCACAAAATGTTGTGTGGTCCCTGCTGTGAGGTAGCTTCCATCGTTATGCTATATAAACTAAAGCTCCTAGAAAGAAGGGAAGAAGCCACACCTATGCTGAAGATTCAAGGGAGAATGACTGGTGAGAACTTCATGATTGTTAGAATGTTGCAGATCCAGAACGAAACTATCTTGGGCTATATTTAGTCCCTTATTCATTGCTTACGTGTATGACCTAACATCCTGTGACTATCAAAATCTTTAAAATGTATTATTTGTTGGTTGGTTTGTTTTTGAGACAGGATATCACTATATAGCTCCATATCTGATGATGGTTTATTAAGCACCTGTGATGCTTGTGGGTGCATGCATTCACAGATGCCATGGAGCATGTGTGGAGGTCAGAGGAAAAATTATAAGAATAGGTTCTCTACTACTACTATGTGGGGGGAGGGATCAAACTGAGGTCATCAGGCTTGGTAGCAGGTGCTATTACCCACTGAACCATCTTTTCAGCCCCTGATGGTAGTTTTTAAAATACAGACGTCACAGGGAATTTTTTTTTCAGGGGGAGGAGTTACTTAGGGTTGAACCTAGGGTCTCCATCATGTTAGGCAAGTGCTAACTCTACCACTGGGCTGCAGTCAGATCCATTTTACTTTATTTTGAGACAGGATCTTGCTGAGTTGCCCTGAACAGCTTCAAACTTGTGATCCTCCTGTCATCACCTCACATGTACCTGTGATCCTGTGATTACAGATATGTACCATCATGCTGGGCTGGAATACCTGTCTTTCAGTCACAAATCTTGTTTTTTATTTTTTTATCTTTTTTGAGACAGGGTCTCCCTGTAGCCCCAGCTGGCCTAGAACTTACTATGTAGACCAGGGTGGCCTTGAACTCACAGAGATCTGCCTGCCTCTACCTTCTGAGTGCTGGGACTAAAGGTGTGTGCCACCACACCCGGCTAAATCTCAATTTTTTCTTTCAAATTGGGCCAGACATAGCCCAATTTTCTTCAGTTTTGGGTTAACCTTTGGCTGCTCAGTGGTTGTTTTGTTGTTGTTTAACACTGATGAACTATGAACCCTATGATCAAATAGCCACATGAATACTGGCTCATAGCTTTTTATTTGAATAGGGAATATGAACAAGTTTTTAAATTAAAAAATATTTGTTTACTTATTTCCCTTTAATTTAATTTTATTATTTTTTATATTTTTATTTATTATTTTTATGTGTATGTGTGTATTGCCTGCATGTAGGTAAGTGCACCTGTGTCCTGCATTGCCTGAGGAGGCCAGAAGACAGCGTCAGATTCCCTGGAACTGGACTTAGGGACAGTTGTTAACCACCACGTGCTTGTGGGGAATCAAACCCGGGTCCTCTGGAAGAGCAGTCAGTGCCATGTGGGTGCTGAGATTCGAACCTGGGACTTCTGCAAGAACATTCAGTGTTCTTAACCGCTAAGCCATCTCTCCAGCCCCTATTTTATTATTTTTATTTGATGTATATGACATGCACCTACATGTAAGTAGGTGCACCTGTATCTTGCAATGCCCGAGGAGGTCAGAAAAGGGTGATGGGTTCCCTAGAACTGGAGTTAAGGACTATTGTTAGCAGCCATATGGGTGCTGGGAATCAAACCTAGGTCCTCTGCAAGAGCAGCCAGTGCTCCCAACCACTGAGCCATCTCTCCAGCCCTTATTTATTTGTTTGTTTTTATGTGTATGAGTTTTATGCCTGCATGTAAGTGTACCCATATTGTGCAGTGCCCATGGAGGACAGAAGAGAATGTCCAATCTCCTGGAACTCGAGTTATATATGGATGGTTGTTAGTCATCATGTGGGTGCTGGGAATTGAATCTGGGTCTTCTGTAAAAACAGCCAGTGCTCTTAACAACTGAGCAATCTTTCCTCAGCCCTGTGAGCAAGTTTTGTGCTTGAGTGAGCTGTGAAGAGGAGCTGAGGGCCTAACTAATTTTAAAAGTATGCAGTGATGTAATCTTTCTGGGGAGCGGTTGGGCAAGATCCACCACATGTTAGATTGGCTCAGCTCATCTTTGCTCCACAAGATCCAGTTTGAGGAGTTTAGGAAAACAAGAACCAGACATGTAACTCAGTAATAGAACACTGGCCTGCTGTGTACAAAACCCTGGGTTGGATCACTAGTTCAGCAGAAAAAAAGGAACTAAAAAGTATGAGCTTTCTTATTGACATGAGAACTATTTGTTATCATTTTTTCTTTAAGACAACTTTTTTGAGACAAGGTCTCACTCTGTAGCCCAGATTGACGTGGATCTCACTGTGTAACACAGGCTAGCCTCAAATTTGTGGCAATCGTCCTGCCTCAGTCACCGGAGTTGATATTACAGGTATGTGAAACCATGCCCAGTGTACTTGTTAATTTTTCAACACACTAAATTCACTTCTTTCCATGTTGACTGCAAATCTCACAAAAGCAAGATCTGTATGGAGTTGCTCCTTTTTAAAACTTTTGTTTTGTTTTGTTTTGTTTTATTTTTGAGACAGGGTCTGCCTACAGCCCCAGCTGGCCTGGAACTTGCTATATAGACCAGGCTGGCCTCAAACTCACAGAGACCCTCCTGCCTAGGCCTCCCGAGTGCTGGGACTAAAGACGTACACCACCATACCCGGCTTGCTCCTTTAAAAAAAAATCTTATATTTTTTATATGTATGAGTGTATTGCCTGCATATATCTACCCCTGTCGTGCAATGCCCATGGAGGTCAGAAGTGGATACTGGAGCCCCTGGAAGTGGAATTACGGATGGTTGCTAGACGCCATGTGGCTGCTGGGAATTGAACCCTGGGCCTCTGCAAGAGCAGCCAATCTTAACCACTGAGTCATCTCTCCAGACCTGGGTTGCTCCTTTTAAGCCTTGCTGACGTCTGGAACAGGTGTTGGGTGAATGCATTCTAGGTAGTGTAGCCCTGACCACCACAGGAGGGGTGGCGGTGTACTCTGGGCTTTTGTCACTCACTGTCCTTGCCAAAGGAACGGGCGGCGTGTGCTGCCGCGCTTGGCCGCTAGGGGCGCTGGCCCCCCGTTCACTGCTGTCCTGGTTGGACGGCGTGTGCTGCCGCACTTGGCCGCTGAGGGGCGCTTCTGGTTGACTCACCGCGGCCCGGGGCAGCACCGCCCCTTTCTAGGGAAGCCGCGGCCCTGGCCCAGGACCTCAGTCGCTGCACTGCGCTGCCCGCCATGGCCTGCTACATCTACCAGCTGCCCTCTTGGGTTCTGGACGACCTGTGCCGCAACATGGACACGCTCAGCGAGTGGGACTGGATGCAATTCGGTGAGTATGACCCTGCCCGCTCGGGATCGGAACTGCGCGCTCCGCCCTGCTCCCCGGGGATCCGGGACCCGCCATCGGACCGGTTAACCAGGCAGTGCCTGTGGACGACCACACTGCCTCGCCTTAGTTTCCAGACTAACCCCCTGCCACCTTGAACCGCGTCCCTCTCTTTCTAGATGAGGTGGAGGAACTTGCCCAGAGCCGTGGTTGGCTAAGTGGCCGAGTGGGTGGGACTGGAGCCCCTGGATCACCTGCTGGTGCTGCGCGCTGTGCTCTGCCTGTTTGTGTCCAATAAGGGGCTGTGGCAACGTGAGGTTTCCCAAGCTGAGATCAGCGGTCCAGCTCCATCACGTTCCAGCCCCATCGCATTCCAGCTTGACTTTGGAGCTGGTTTCTTCTCTAAGCCTTTGCTTTTTTAATCTGTAAACTGGAGCTAATAGTTGTAGCCTTTTAAAACTGGCATGATGGCACACTCCTTTAATCCCAGCACTTGGGAAGCAGAGGCAGGTGGATCTTTGAGTTCCAGGCCAGCTGAGGCTACAGGAAGACCCTGTCTCAAAAAGACAAAAAAGAAAAAAAAAATAAATTATAGCCTCTTTACAAAGTTAGGAGGCATGAAAATAGTGTACAGAAAGCACCCGCCTACCTTAGTGTTGCTATTTTGTTTATTTTTTTCGTTAATAATTAATTTTGCAGTAGTGGGTAGTGAACCTACAATCTACAATCTATCACTAAGCCAAGCTGTTTTTTTTTTAAAAAAAAACTTTTGAGACAGGCTCTCCTTATGTAGCCAACATTGACCTGAAATTTGTCATCTTCCTGTTTCAGCCTCCTGAGTGTGGTATTACAGACTTGAACTATCATGTATTTGTAATTAAAAACATTTTTTTAGACAGGGTTTCATGCAGTCCAGGCTGGCCTTAAACTCACAATATAGCTGTGGGTCTTTCTGCCTCTACCTCTCAAGTGCTGGGGTTACTGGCATGTGCCACCATTCCTGGCTTCAGTAATAAATTTTTAAAATTAAAAAAATTTTTTTGGTCTTTTTGAGACAGGGTCTCCCAGTAGCCCCTGCTGGCCTGGAACTCACTATGTAGACCAGGCTGGCCTCGAACTCACAGAGATTGACCTGCTTCTGCCTCCCGAGTGCTTCGATTAAAGGTGTGCACCACTGTGCCCAGCTTCCATAATAAATTTTAATTAAAAATTTCACACTATCCAGAGCTGGCAAGATGGCTCAATGGGTAAAGGTGCTTGCCACCAAGCTTGTGGATCTGAGTTCAATCCCCAGAACCCACATATGAAGATGGAAGGAGAGAATCAACTCCACAAAGTTGTCCTCTGACTTGTGAGCTATGACATGCATACCTATACACATCATGCATACATACACAAAAAAGATTGTTTTATATTATTATTAGGTGTGGTGGTGCACACCTGTAATCCCAGCACTTGAAAGATGGAAGCAGGAGGGTCAGGAGTTCAAGACCAGGTTCAGGTACAGTGAGTTTGAAGACAGCATAGACTGCATGATACCTTGTCTCACCTCCCCACCCCCGAAAAGACAAACAAAACATACACACACAAAAGAAAAACAAATTTTTGCATTATAACATACCACTTAGGGGCTGAAGAGATAGCTCCATGGTTAAGACTCTGTTGTTCTTGCAGAGGACCCAAGTTTGGTTCAAAGCACCCAGGTCAGATGGCTCACCGCTACCTGTAACTCCAAGGGATCTGATCCCTTCTTCTGGCCTCTGTGGGTACCTGCATTCACATGTCAATTCACACACACACACACACACACACACACACACACACACACACAATTAAATAAATCTTAAAAAATATACCACTTGCCGGGCATGGTGGTGCACGCCTTTAATCCTGGCACTCAGGAGGCAGAGGCAGGCAGATCTCTGAGTTCGAGGCCAGCCTGGTCTCCATAGTGAATCCAGGACAGCTGGGGCTACAGGGAGACCCTGTCTCAAAAAGACCGAAAAAAAAAAAAAACCAAAAAAAACAAAACCACTTATGGGCTGGAAAAATATACCACTTGCCGGGCATGGTGGTGCACGCCTTTAATCCTGGCACTCAGGAGGCAGAGGCAGGCAGATCTCTGAGTTCGAGGCCAGCCTGGTCTCCATAGTGAATCCAGGACAGCTGGGGCTACAGGGAGACCCTGTCTCAAAAAGACCGAAAAAAAAAAAAAACCAAAAAAAACAAAACCACTTATGGGCTGGGCGTAGTCATGTGTGCTTTTAATCACAGCACTCAGGAGGCAGAGGCAGAAGAATCTCTGTGAGATTGAGGTCAGCCTGGTCTACGTAGGTAGTTCTGGGCCAACTGAGGCTACAGGGAGACCTTGTCTCAACAAACAACAAAAAAACACCACTTATAATATAATATATGTACGTGTGTGTGTGTGTGTGTGTGTGTACATTTGACAAAATAATAAAGTGAGCATGTATGTGTTGTTTCTACAGTTTGATACACAGGTAGGGCTGGGATGAATCTCAGTGGCAGAGACATCCATTAGCATGTATGAGGCCCTGGATTCCATCCCTAGTTCAGAAAAAAATCAGAAAAGGAAAGAAACCATGTATATTTTAACCTAGTGGTTCTCAGTCAGGGATGGTTTTGTTCCCTAGGTAACATTTGCCATGTCTGGACACATTTCTTGTCACACTTTTGCAGATGCAGTGGGTGAACACCAGGGCTGTTTGAAACACCCGAGGACAGACACAGGACAAACCCTGGCACAAAGCATAGCTGGCCCCAAGAGTCAGCAGGGCCGAGGTGCAGAGACCCTTTTAACCCAGGAAAAGTAATTGGTACACAAGGAAAAACACTGTGGACAGCAACAGAAAGATGAGTTCCCATTCTACCTCAGGGAGCACTGTCCTTAACATCTGGAACTGCTTTTTGGTTTCTGACTGTGTGCCATCAGAGTGCTTGGGTTATGCGTGCCTGTCTTCCTAAACAAATTTATGTGTAGATAAATATTTTAACCATCTTGCCATTTTTGTTTATTGGTTATACATGATATAGCCTTTTTTTTTTTTTCCTCTTAAAAATATAGTCGTGGTGGCTCACGCCTTTAATCCCAGCACTTGGGAGGCAGAGGCAGGCGGGTCTCTGTGAGTTCGAGGCCAGCCTGGTCTACATAGTGAGTTCCAGGCCAGCAGGGGCTACAGGGAGACCCTGTCTCAAAAAGACCAAATATATATATATATAATAGCCATTTCCCCTTGACAGGCAGTTGGTTGGGGGGGGTGTTTTGTTTTTTTTTCTAGCAGAGTCTCACTGTGTAGCTCACACTGGCCTCAAATTCATGGTCCTGCCCCATCTTCCCCAGTGCTGGGACTATACCATGCCAGGTGATGCCTTTTTAGGATTTTTCTCTTCATTGTGTTTTTTGTTTTGTTCTGTTTTCTAGTTTTTGCTTTTGTTTTATTGAGACAGAGTCTCCCTGTGGTCCCAGCTGGCCTGGAACCCTCTATGTAAATCAGGCTGGCCTTGATCTCACAGAGATGTCTGCCTCTGCCTCCTGAGTGCTGGGATTAAAGGTATGTACCACTAAGCCTAGCCCTAGTGTGCTGTGTGTGTGTGTGTGTGTGTGTGTGTGTGTGTGTGTGTGTGGGCCCTAGTGTGCTGTGTGTGTGTGTGTGTGTGTGTGTGTGTGTGTGTGTATGTGTATATTTGTTTGAAAAGGGGCTCCCTGTAGTCCCAGCTGGCCTGGAACTTGCTATGTAGACCAGGCTGGCCTCAAACTGACAGAGATCTGCCTGCCTCAGCCTCCCAAGTGGTGGGACTAAAGGTGTGCACCACCACGCCAGGCATATATATTTTTTAAAATATTTTTTAATGCATTTATTTCTGCGTGTGTGTGTGTGTGTGTGTGTGTGTGTGTGTGTGTGTGTACATGTGTACACCTGTGCCATGGTAGGTAGTTGATCCTCTCCTTTCACCATGTTGTTCCTGGGAATCAAATTCATGTCACCAGGCTTGGTGGCAAATATTTTTATCTACTCAGCCATCTTGCCAGCTGGTCAGGATGTATTTTTGTTCCTTATCACTACTGGAGAAGCAGGAGGTATACTAGATGATGTTGGTAACATCCAGGATGGGGGGGGTGACTTTCTTTACTGGCCTTCAACCTCCCTGTCCCCTCTCTGCAGGCTCTGCCTGAGTCTCAGAGCACCCATGATGATGTTTTTTGCCACATTATTGTCCAAGCCACTCTGTGTCCTAGCACTTGGATGACCTGTGCTTTGGCTTGGAATCTTTCCTGGGCAGTGACCAGCTATGGCAGGGACTCATTTTTCCCATATCAGCCCAGCCCTGAACTGCACACACTAGAGCAGTTTCTCTTCCTAGAATATGAATGTAAAAGGCATACTTGTGACTGTTTTAAAGCTTTATTAAGATATAATTTATGAGGCTCAGATGTGGCTCAATGGTAGAGTATATGTTTACCATTCATAAGACCCTGGGTTCTTGGGGCTGGAGAGATGGCTCAGCGGTTAAGAACACTGACTGTTCTTGCAGAAGACCTGGGTTCAAATCCCAGCACCCACAGGGCAGCTAACAACTGTCCGTGACTCCAGTTCCAGGGGCTCCGACAGCCTCTTCTGTCTTCCTCGGGCATTGCACGACATGAATGCACCTACCTACATGCAGGCAATGCACGCATACACATAAAATTAAAAAAAAAAAAAAAAAAAGGACCCTGGGTTCAGTCTCTGGAACCAATAGAAAAAGCCAGGTACACACCTGTGATTCTACTCAGTACCTGGGGCAGAAAAAGTGAGATGAGAGCTTCCTGGGCTGGGAGTATCAGTTGGTTGATGTTTTTTTGCCTATTTGTGCCTGACATGCAGGCCCTGGGTTCAAAGCCCAGAATGTTGACAAAAAGTTTGGAGAATTCATGGCCAGCCTGGGCTACATATTGAGACCCTATCTCAAATAAGCAAACAAGCAGGGTATAATGACTCAGG